CAAAAAAGCTGCCAAAGCCAAGAGTCACCCCTTAAGCTTTGGCTGATCCAGTTTATAAGGAAAACCGGATCGAAAACCTAAACAAGCTGACCCCGTTTATGAGGAAAATCGAGCCGAAAACCGTACAAGCAACACAGTTACAGAAGATGAGAAAAAAAAGACACCCAGGACATGTCACGACCTAGCAGACCGAAGGACCATCACCATGAGAGACAAAGTAGATGTGGGGTGCCATCAAGGGATCATAATAATAAGACTTTGCAAGCAACCTCACGCACCGCACCGGCGTGCGTACCAAGCCCACGACGCAACACAAGAGCATCCACAATCAACGAGTGCCACACCTGGACACGAACCTTGACTGGGAACTCCGCCACAGGAATTCGGAACGATTAGCAAGTTGGAGAGGCATCTTGCATCGTCGTTGAGCAAAGATGAACCGAGACAACACCAAGAGCATGAAGCTCGCCGCAACACAACAGCATCCGTGGGAGGGTCTTGAGCATGCACAGCAACATGGACGACACACCAGACGATGGGCAGGGGCGGATGAATGGCAACGAAGGGCTTGGCGAAGAGGCGTAGTCGATTGTGGTACGGGGTGGATGGGAGGCGATGAGAGAATTGAAGCAAACTCGGAGGTCAAAACAGAGGGCAAAGGAATCACCATACGGACAAGAAGGGGATGCAGACCGCGCCATCAGCATGGAAGAGCGGCGTGAGTGCGCTGCCGCAGTCGTGGTCGGACGAACCGGCAGAGATTTCTCCCCATCCCCAAGTCCAACAAGGAGGAGGAGGAGGCAGTACAGCGCCACCATGGTGGGACGCGGCGCCCGCAGGCGTCGCCGCTGGCAGCCGGCGGCCGCCGGCATGGATTTCTCCATGCCTCCTCACACCCTCCACCACCACCACACCCAACCTCCGACTGACCGGACATAGAGGATTCATTCTGATAGCCTTGAGAAAGGAGCACCCCCAGACGAGCAGATCCGCGACGAAAAGTGGTAGATCGGAAATCAGCGCATTCGCGCGCACCCACCACTGTGCAGCACCCGAGGACGAGACGCGGGCACATGCCCGCCCAGCCCGCGCGAGCACGGGACCGGGGGGAGGGGGGCAGCATCGGCTCGATCTGATGAGCAGCACGGGAGCTACCCCCATCGACGGCGACGAGATGATTGGTGCAGCAGCCACCGACAGAGGGCCAACACGCGCCGGCCGGCCGACGGGCACTGGCGGCTCCGGGCGGGACGATGTGGGAGGCGGGTTTTGGATCTTGGGAGCAGGCTGATGTCGCGGGCGGAGAGCAGAGCATGGCCTTGCCGCCGCCGTCTACCGCGGGACCGGCCCGACGGCCTCCTTCGGCACCGGCGATGCAGGGGGCCGCCTCGATCTAGCGATGGTGGATGCGGAGGGGAGCACCGGACGGTGAGGCAGGGGTGGGCTTGGATTGAAGTGGGAGAGGTCGCGAGTGGTGGTGGAGGTGGACCTGGTGGATAGGGTTGGGGTCACCCCGGTGTCGCCCCGCGGAGCGACACGGGAGCGGCTCTGGTTTCAGATTTTTAGCATAACCCAAATATATCTCTAACATCCCCCCGCAGTCGTAACGGTAGCGTTGCGAACAACAAGAACATCGCGGACTGTCAGACTGGAGAGAATAGCAGCCGACAGAATGGCATCCCCCCTCCCCCCAGCAGTCCTAGCGGGAGCGTCGTGGATGGTGTCGCGTCGCGGACGCGTTCACTGTAGAGGAAGCCGACGAGTTGCTCAAGCGAATGATAACATTTTGTGCCGATGTCGAGGTGGCCGAGAGCGTAGGGTGGTGTAGCCGTTGTCAAGGTAGCCGTGCAAGAACGCTGTGGTCGATGTCGAGTCAGGGTATCCGGTGTCGAGGGAGTCGCCATGGAGCCACGGGCGCAAGGAGGTGCCAAGTTAGTCATGGGCGCAGTGGTGTCGAAGTAGGGTGCGCCGGGTAGAGGATGATGTTGACGAGGCGTCGCGCCGGGTTTGCCAAACCCGGAAACACGTCGTAGATGAAGGCATGCATCGGTGTTGCCAGCACCGGGCATGCTTAGACGGACGCAGACGAAGCTGACGAAGCGCCGACTAGGCTTGCCAGATTCGGGGACACGTCGTGCAGGAAGGCACACATCGCTGTTGCCAGTACCGGGCATGCGTAGACGAGGGACCTGCACGAGCTGTACACCATGTCGAGGAGTCGGAGAGGCCAGCAGAGAAGGACTCGACGATGGTTGCGGCATCTATCGATACGGGGTCGATGTCGCCCGCGGTTGTCGGAGTAGACAAAGTGGTCGGGGTAGATGATGGTGACGCTGGCGATGGGCTGGTGCTGGACGAAGACGAAGGAGGTGGACGGGTGGCGGCGACTAGGTTAGGAGCGCAACGACGATGCTCAAAGCAGGCGAGGAACCTGACAACGTGACGGAGATCGGCGCGGACATGGTGTTCCCGCGTCAAGGGAGGCGGCGCAGCGCATATCACGGGAAGTCGACGTGCACGGACGGCGGGTGGACTGCGGGCCGCGATGCTATGACCCCAAGGGGCGATGCAGCGGCGGCTGGCAGGTCGGGGCGACGGCGGAAAGACCTCGGGGTGGCGGTGGTGACCGCGTTCCGCATCTCTATAGCTCGAAGAGGCGGTGTAGCGGCGGCTCGCAGGTCGGTGCAACCGCGGGGACGGCCTCGGGCGACAGCGGTGACCGCATGCTGCAACACTACAGCCCAAAGAGGCGGTGTAGCGATGGCTCGCAGGTCGGGGCAACCACGTGGAGAACCGCTAGCCGGGGGCGATGGCCCGACGGGAGGCGGCGTGGAACGCGTGCCGCGACACGAAAACCCTAAGGGGCTACGCAAAGGCGGCGGCGGCTACGGGGGTAGCCGGCGGGAGGATCTCAGGGCGGTAGCATGGACTGCGTTCCGCGACGCGACAGCCCGAACGGGCATCGCCAGGAGCGACGCGCGGGTCGTGGCAGCCGACATGAAGACCTCCGGCGGCGATGCAGTGGTCCGAAGGGACGACGTGACGGCAACTTGTGGCTCGATCAGCAGTAGGCGCGTGCTCGGGGACGTGCTTGGCGAAGACAGGCGCGTGATCGGTTGATCAGACCGACGGTGTATGCGCCATGGAGGGGATGACGCGTAGATCGGAGTCGATGGTGACATTGTCGGTGATGTCCTGGGTGACGACGACGAAGACAGACCGGTGATGGAAACCGCGCGGACGAGCGGCCGGCAGCGACACACGAAGGTGTCCCTTGGGCGGCGCGTCCAACCTGGCCGCGTGGTTGATGACGAAGCGGTCGGTGTAGTCGACGCCGATATCGGAGTAGAGATGCGGGGGTCGACGGTGACGGCGGGCAACGCAAACCGATCAAGCATAGGTCAGAAGGCCAAAAAAAAACATCGATCGAGATGATCGGCGAGAGAAAAAAGAATCCGAACCAAAGGATGAAAAAAAAACTTTTTAGGGTAGCCGATCAACACAACCGACGGACGAACCCTAAATACGGACGGCTGGAATCGACGACACAGGGCTAATGGGTGTTTCATTCTCTAGGTGGTGTGCCCGACGTCTTGTCGCGGTCTCGCATCACGCGCATAGGTGGCGGGCATGCATGCATCGTTGAGGTCATACATGCAGGCTCCAACTAGACAGTACATGACATCTGGGGTCCTACGTACATGTTCCAGAAGAAACGAGGGCGCGTCTTGTTGAGGCCTCGCACCACGGCGAGATATGGTCTCGTGGGGTGCGCCAGAGCCATTAATTAATATATATTTTCTTCGTCCGGAAATACTTGTCATCAATGTAAATAAAAAGAAATGTATCTAGATGCATTTTAGTTCTACGTATATTTTTTTATCTATTTTGATGACAATTATTTTCGGACAAGTAGGCGCATGCCATGTGGGTCCTAGTAGTTTGTTTGTTTGACCTGGCTGAACGTCGGTCCCACATGTCACTTATCATGCCCTAATAGATGGCATGCCGGGAAGAGAGAGGGAGCACGAGACGGCGGGCGAGAGCGGTGCGATTCCTTCCTACTATGTCTACTTGGCAGGTGCGTGGCCTATAGCCCTATACGTGCGCGCGCGAGGAACCGAGCGAGGAGTTGACCGAGGATGGAGGAGCGAGGAACCGAGTGCGTACATGCGTGCTCCTTATTTTCGACCCGTTGGCGCAATGGAACGAGGTGAAAAAGAAGCCGCGCCCTCGGCTCAAAAGAAAAGAAAAGAAAAGCAAAAAAATTGACCTTTATTTTGTTTTTGGCAAAAGATGGGTGTGCCCTTTGTGGCACGTACGCAGCACATGTCGCTCCTCACAAACCTAAATAAAAGGCTTTGGCAGGAGGCAAGGAGCGCAAGATCCTAAATAATAATAATAATAATAATAATAATAATAATAATAATAATAATAATAATGATAGTAGTAGTAGTAGTAGTAATAATAATAATAATAATAATAATAATAATAATAATAAACGGAAGAAGAAGAAAAGAGACGAGCGCCTCTCTTTCATCCGCAACATCGACCAATCAGAAAAGAAAAGAAAAATTCGTTGGAGGGAATAGGTTGGTTGGTTGAGGCAGGCCTGCCGTGCGGACGCGGAAAATAAAGGCGAGTGATGGGCGCCGGTGCGCCGGCTGAAAATTTCGGCCGGTCGCATCACAGACGTACGATTAACTCTAATTAGCCGCATGATACTTTACTCAACTGCTTCGCTAGTTAAAGAAAAAGGCTATGGCATCTATTCATCCTGAGCAGCCCCGTGACGCCCCAGATCGCCGGCCGCCCACGTCGGCTCCGGCTGCTGCCCTCGCCGGTGGTCGCCCTCGTCACCGCCGGTTGCCGCCTTGGCACGACCTCCTCCCCCGCGTTTGAGAAAAATCGCTCTATGGAGTTTGTAGCACGAATCCTCGCCGGTTCCGGCATGAAAAAACTCGTCTGCAACCTCAAAAAGCTACCGCGGCGTCGCCGTCCTCGTCCCCGGGAAGCCGCTCGTCGTCGCAGCATCCGCCCCATCGTCGCAGTACAATGCTTATTTGCTTGTATCAATTTATGTTGCAGGTTGTATCTTTTTCCATCCACCATTGTAGCATCTTCGTTGCTCGTCCTTCCATCTTGTACCAGTACCGCTGCTGGTTGTAGCATTTCGTAGTATGTTTGTAGCGAAGCATGATGCTGATTGTAGCAAAAATCAGAACACCATCGTGCGATGCAGCAAATCACGACGGCGGTTGTAGTTAGACGGGACACTGGTGGTAGCAATTTGTAATGCCGGTTATAGCATGTAGCACAAATCTGCGACGCTCGTCCTCGCCAAATGTTGCTTGAAGCAGCGCTGCCGTGGTCACCACGTTCACCAGCCTCGGCTGTAGCGAAAAACGAAGCCAGACGTGGCAAGAAACGAAGTCGGTTGTAGCAAAAGTCAAGTCGCCGTGCATGGTCACCATACTCGCCATCCTCGGTTTGTAGCAAAAAATGGAGCCGGTTGTAGCAAAAAATGAAACCGGTTGTAGCAAAAGACGGAGCCGGGAGGTGGACGAAGTAGCTTGTTGTCATGGAGTAGCTCGCGGTGGTCACAGCCAATGACGGGAGGTGGTGTTTGGACTAGTTTGCGGTGGTGCCATGAGAGCCTACTCGATGGAGGTTTTTTTTTTTTTTTTGAGATGGCCTACTCGATGGAGTTGAAAGAAAAGGAAGGGAGAAGATAGCGTCTGTGAGGAAAACGATTCGAGGAGGAGCCTCGTGAGTGGCGTGCGACCGGCCCAGCGTTCGGCCGGTGCGCCGACGTAAAACGTTCCCAAAAAAAGGCCTGCCATGTACAATGGTTGATAAGGTATGTACAATAATTGATAAGGTATTCTTATCTTAAGTCTTGCATGTAATTTAAAAATGAAAAAAAATATTGTCTACAACGGGTTATCTCTTAGCCTTATTTTCAATAACTAGTCATTCGTAAAAATATGGTGAGACATATTCTGTTAAGAGATTATCTTCTGTTTTCTTTTAAATAAGAGAAGACAAATCTTTTCTTATGAATTTTCTCTCCTCATTTCATTATTTATTTCTACATGGCACTGTTAAGATAGCACCATTAACGACGACGCGTGCTGCCTCCGACATCGACCGAACATAACCGATATGTTTGGAGTGGGACCAGACGGCCCACCTTGCGGCCAACATGCATGCTCATCTTGTACCCGGTCTTCGGCCAGCCGCGGTCACCGGCGCGCCAGCGGGCTCTGGAGACGGAGACGACGACGGCCACCGCGCGCGTGCCGCTCGGGCGGCTTCTGCTCGTGGACGCGTTCCGAGCAGAAGCGGAGCAGCAGCAGCCGGACGGCGGGGACAAGCGGGCAAAGACGTGCTACTGTTCGTGGTGCCCCGGGTCGCCGGCTGCGGTGGCAGCGTCAGCGTCATGCCCGGCGCGCTGCCGGAAGAGCAGCTCCACGGGGTCGGTCCTCCGGTGGAGCCAGCGGCTCCTCGGCCGGAGCCACAGCGACGGCAAGGAGAAGTTCGTCTTCTTGGACGCGAGCCCCTCCCGCTCCAGGCGCAAGGGGGTCAGGGGCGGCGGCCCCGAGGGTGCCGGTGGCGTCGGCGGCCACGCGCACGTCTGGAGCTCCTACGCGCACAAGGGCGGTGGCAACGATGGGCGCCGGAGGTCGTTCCTCCCGTACAGGCAGGACCTCGTCGGGCTCTTCGCCAACGCCACCGCGTTCCGGCGGACCTACCACCCCTTCTGACGCATCGACGTACTGGATCCGTAGAGCATTTGATCTGCATGCATGCTGTTGTTTGAGTTTGTACTTTGCTTGTTTGCTTATCATCATCATCATCAGTTTGTATTCGTAACCGGAGCGTGTAAAGTCAATTTCATATGTTCCTTTTAACTTTGGTTCAGTACTGCTACTTACCTTGTGAATTATACTCCGTTGGTTTATGAAGCAACTAACCAGATAGGAGCCTTGCTTCGGTAGACCCCCCCTCTCACAAACCGTATAAGGACAGTATAGTCATTTGATCAATGTATAGCCAGCTTCGTATACAAACTGTACATATGCGTCCGCCAACCCGTCACACAAACCAGCGCACATCCCCTCCGTCTTGGGTTGATCCATTTTTTTAACCTTCAAAAAATATGTGCATGAGATAGGATTTGCACACCCAACTTCTTGGTTTAATTTCACAAGCTCTAACCAACTAGGACAGCTAAGTTGTTGTGCCTAGTTACTCCTTTTATTCTTCTTGTTGTCCATCTTCTCTGTCTTTTTTGTTTTGTTTGGCCATTTTATTATTCGGTTTTATTATTATTTTTTATTTTTCTTTGTAAAACACGTTCTCGTCCTCCTGTTAACAAAACAGTCGCGCACGTGATGTTAAATACATACAGTTAACGCAAACAAAATATATTTAAATATAAAAGGTGAGTGTGTTTCAGTCCGCATGTATAAGATAGATGGATGATTCATTCCGCGTTATGGTGTACACATGACGTACAGGTTCTTGTCACATGAGTCGCCATGTCCGTCCTCAGAAAAAAATTAAATTAAATGCAAAACAAAAAATAAGACGGGTTTCAAGGAACGAACGAAACGATGCCGACTGGTCTGTGCGTGGTTTTAATGTAGATTTTACTAATTTAAATGCTTCGGTTATTTGCAATTTCTGTCGTTATCAATCAACATGAATATTTTCTTATATCCTAACCATTCCTTGAAACTTGTCAACAATTTTAGAATTTTAAATTGTGTATGAAAATTTTATAAACTTGAACACATTTTCTAAAATTGTTAACAAATTCGCAACAACTGATGTTGAACACAAATTGTTATCAATCCACATGCTGGCAAAATTTGGTGTCATTTCGTGCATGACAACAAATACATCATGTTCAATCAAGACCGTTCGGGTCTGCCGGTAGGGCAAGTTTCGAAGCACTTTTAATACCTCCACCGAACATACCCAATATTTTTCCACACAGCGGCAACACCATGGAAAACACGCATGCCACGCTTCGTTGGTTTCCGACATTTCATGCATTTTCTAGGGTTTTCCCAGCGAAAAAATCTTAAACACAGGCCGAGCGTGACGCAGCGTGTGCTCGGTGTCCGAATTCGTTCAAATTTTGTGTGGGGGGCTACCATGGGCATGCCCACCCGCTGGCAAAATTGTATGCCGTTTTATGCATGGCACCAAACACACCATGTACAACTTGGACCTTTTAGGTATCCGGTATGGCAAGTCTTGAAGCACTTTTTTTCACCTCCACCAAACTGACCCAATTTTTTTTCACACAACAGAAAAATAATGGCAACCATGCATTCCAAGTTTCATTGGTTTCCGACAATTCATGCATTTTCTACGGTTTCCCCGGTGAAAAAAACTCTAAAACACAGGCGAACGTGACGCAACGTGCAGTCGGTGTCAGAATTTGTTCAAATTTTGCGTGGGGGACTGCCAAGGGCATGCCCACATGCTGGCAAAATTTGGTGTCATTTCGTGCATGGCAACAAATATACCATGTTCAATCGGGAACGTTCGGGTCCGCCGGTAGGGCAATTCTCGAAGCATATTTTTTTGCCTCCACCAAACATACCCAATTTTGTTCCACACAATGGCTAGCATTCATGCCAAGTTTCATGCATTTCTAGCATTCTATGCATTTTCTACAGTTTTCCTTGTGAAAGTTCCCTAAAACATAGGGCGGTCATGATTTATTTTCTCCGCATTCGTTCATTTTCGACATTCTATGCATTTTCTATGGTTTTTCTCGATGAAAAAAATCATAAAACAAAGGTCGAGCGTGTTGCAACGTGCTCGGTGTCGATATTCGTTCATTTCTGTGTGGGAGTGGAGCTGCTCCGGTGTTGCGCCAGGCCCCAATGTCGCATATCCGTCGGTGGTGATGTGCCAATCCTTCGGCAACCACGCCGACGATGAAGCGAGCAACCTGAAGTGGCTCAACTCCGCCTGCGGCCATGAGAGTGTCGACGGCCAAGATCGACTATCGCTGTTGTCAGATCCGGAGCTCACCATGGACGGTTGGCCGGCCCCGGCTTTTTATAGACGGGGGCTGCGACGGGAGGAGGTTGGAAGGCGCCGCGTCAGTGTGAATGCGGGGCCAGGCGATGCGACGCGACGACTTAATGACGGGGCGGGCGAGGCGGCATATGCGGTAGCGGAAGTGGTGCGGCAAGCGAGGCATCAGCAGGCAAAGGATGTAGTCGTGATTGTCGTCGGTTGCGTTAAATCGTCACGCGTGCTCGCAACACAAATATCATGGTCCGGTGCAGACATAAATCAAAAATAAATCATGGCTGCCCCAGGATTAAAAAAAAGCAAAACACTTAGAATGTGTCGTTACGTGCATGCCGGCCGTGGCGGCCAGCTCACATTTGCTAATGCGCCCAGGCGCCGCTTTTTTTTCACTATCTCGAAAACAAATTGAGGCCGGCGCTCACGTAAAAAACAAATTGCACCACTCACCGCGGATGAGAAAAAAACACCTCACACCATGGGCGTAAAAATACATATCAGTAGTGCGTGTGCGGGCGGGTCACTTTTACAAATACGACCATCATGCCCTTACTAATGAAGGGGTATCGGATAATCTAAATCATTCATGTGTTTAAGGGGGGTCTACCGAAGCAGAAGTGACCAGATAATTAGTGTCCTTGCTGAAAACCAAATTCAAATTCTCAGCTTCTCTCCGTGCGATAATCAGCTTCTTTCAAATCAAATTCAAACCAAATTCTCAGCTGATCGATGAAACCAAATTCTCAGCTGATCGATGAAACCAAATTAATTCTCAGTGAAACATACAGCCAACCAAAACTTTTTATTTTGTATTGCGTGGAACATGGAGTCAAACTTGATCGAATTTTTCAGGATGCAAGTTCAGGAGCGGTCTCCTTCAGTGCACCAACTCTCCTTTCCCAAGCTTTACTCTTCGTATTAGTCGCACGAAAATTAAACCACATCATCCGATACGATCATATCATATCATATCACACGTCCACGTCAGCCTTAATTAAGCCTGGCTGCGAAGCACGACCTAGCTTAGCAAGATCGTAAATGTTCCTTGCAGCCTACGACGCGTGCTGCCTCCGACATCGACCAAGCTTAACTGCTGACACGTACGTACGGATAGCTAGCTAGCAACGGCACACACGTACAGGTTGGTCATCATACTGTCACCCCACAGTACTAATACATGTTTTTCCTTGCCACTCCACGTCAGCACGGGAAGATCGCGCCGCCGCGCCCTAGGCCTCCTCTGCCTGATCTCTCCCTCCCTCCGCCGCCCGAGTTCATGCCGGCGAAGCCCGGGCTGTGGGCTGTAAAGGCGGCTGCAGGGGTCTTCTCCCTCGCATGCGGTGGTGTCTTCCTCTGGCGGCGGCAACATGGCCACTCCGGTGATTCGGTGGCCTGTGTGGCGGGATCTCGGTGGAGGATGTGATGGCGGCGGCGCGGCCTCCCGCGGCGGAGGCGCCCCTGTGGCGGTGACCGGAATCTCGGATCTCGCCGGGCCCAGTTGGGCTTAGGCGGACCGGCGGATCTGGTGCACGGCGGCAGGCTCGCGCGGTGGGCCTGACGTAACCGGCTACTCTGGCACCGTGGTGGTTCCGTGGCCGGTTAGGTGGCGGCGGTTGGTTCCCTTTGGTCCGGTCTCCGACATAGAAGGTGGCGACCCGTGCATAAAAAGTTGGATGGAGTTCTTCGAACAGATCTAGGTGAAAACCTGCTCTCGGCTAGATGCCAAGGCCGGTGATGGCGGCGCTCTTCGGTGTCGTTCCCTTCTTGGAGGCATCACTGTGGAGAAGTTCTAGGCCAACATCTACTACCTTCGGGGAAAACTCTAGATCAGTACATCGGAAGATGATGGCGCTCTTGTGTCATTTCTCTCCCCGGGGCATCGTTCTTGGAGATGTGCATGGACTCGAGTGATCAATGGACCGCAACTTTGGTGGAGCGGTGCTTCATCCTCCACATTGATGACGACGGATCTCGACGGCGTGGTGCAGTGCAAATTCCAATATGCGGGGATGGACTCGTGCAGGAGGATGACGTTGTCTGGCGTCGTGGTGGCGTCGATGGCAGAGAGGTCTGCCACGGTCGATGCGCCACTTTCTGCTCTGGAGATGTCTGGAGATGGATCGATGGAAGATGATGGTGCAGTGTGTTGTAGAGTGCGTATGTTGTGCCCATTGTGAGTGCGCCGGACCGGTGTGTGACCCAGTCCCGATGTGTGGCTAGACTGGGGCATTTGGCGTTAGATGTTAGACTTTGATGTGATGTCTGTTTGGTATTAGATTCGGACATTTGACACCCCTTCATCAAGGGGATAGGAGTAGCAACATATGTTGTCTGGATGGTGGCTTCAGATGTATTGATGTATTACTTTGTAAGGTATTCATGAATAATTAATAAAATGACTGCATGCATCGTGCAGATGCAAAGTCGATGGTACATCCTTCTTTTAAATAAAAAACTTCATGTCAGCACGTAATCAACTAATCCCTGAATTCCTAAATATTTGTCTTCATAGAGATTTTAACAAGTAACTACATACGAAGCAAAATGAGTGAATCTATACTCTAAAATATGTCTATATACATCCATATGTGGTAGTCCATTCGAAATCTCTAAAAAAAACAAATATTTATGAACGGAGGGAGTAGATTCTTTTGGATATTTCTTCGGAGTATATGTGGGTGCCATGCCATGGCTAAGTCAAAATTTA